ACCATGCTAAGGCAATCCAGCTCCTTCAACACCCCACTCTCCACATGCACACACCATTCATGAGGGAACCCATCTTACCCTACCTGCTGTTTCAAGGTAAGGGAATTTTTTTGAGGTGTCCAAAGACACATCACCTTCTTTTAACTTATTTATTTAGATGAGTGTCTTTTAAGAAAAAGAATTCTGTGGACTTCTTCTGGTGGAACCATAAATAATCAAAATATGTGTGCAGATCCTTAGCAGCTTCGTAGGTGAAATACAGTGCTTGGCCGACAACTGGAGAGCATGGATGGTTCTTTTCAAGCTCGAGGGCTGCTTCCAACAAAAGCTTGCGTCTCACATTCTTACTGAGGACCCCTCACAGATTGTTGGGTGCTTTGTACATCTTTATCTCCAACAGGATTGCTAGATCTCATAGGCCCTACAGAGGCTCATGTGAATAGAGAGTAGTGATTGTTCAGTGGTAGAATTCTCATTTTCTGTGTGGGAGACCTAGGTCCAATTCCAGGCCAATGCACCTCTCAGGCAGCCACCATCTGCCACCAGCAGGAAGCTTCTCTGCTGCCACACTGCCGAACGAGTTTTAGTAGAGCTTCCAGACAAAGACAGACCAAGAAGAAAGGTCTCATGTGCTACTTCCAAAATTAAGCCTATGAAAACCCTATAGATCACATGGTTCTATTTGTCCTTTGATCGTGAGGATGGCACAGGACCAAGCAGTGTTTGATTCCAGGGTGCATGGTGTCACCAGAGTTGGGGTAGATCACAGCAACCCAACATCATAGGTGGAACAGGGGACTCAGAGTCAGAGCAAACAAAATTGTAACCTGTCAGCAAAAATCAACAACCAAAACAAAAGAGCTCACCAACTCCTTCCCCTGTGGCTTTGTCTACAGCTGATCCTCCAAAGTGAGGCAGGCTCCTTCCCAGCCTGCCGTCACCTTTATGAATATAATTGTGGTAGGTAGGTTTGCTGTGCCAACATGACCGATGAACACATGTGCGATTGGTTGAAGGGTGGAGAGATGGATGGCTCAGCGAGCCTCACCTCTTTCTCTCTTGCTCTTTGATCATCTGATGAGTGTGCGGCTGCCTGTGCCTCCATTTGCAAGCTACACTATCTGTGGGACGCCTACCCGTGGACTGTCACTGTAACTTGAGGTTCCTTCAAGGCCTGCTTCGCCACACTACTGGAAGGTACATCTCACGAGCTGACCACTGTCGGACTCTATCATCTGGCTGACTGTTGGTAACCTGCTTGCTGTTTGCTGCCTGTGGCCGGATAGCCTGAATTGCTCCACGGACGACTACCTCTCAGCTCTCAAGACTTGAAGGACTGCCAGTGTACTAGCTGTCTCACGGAAGTGAGTTGCACTGAGCCATTTGTACTGCTTTATAGCTTAATTAACTCTTTATTTCTTATGTTATCTATCTACATAACTATAGACAAAATTATTAGTGCCTGGTTTTGTTTCTCTAGAGAACCCTGCCTAACACAATAATGATGGGCCTGAACAGCTCTCTAGTTAAGAGTACACGAATGTGGGGGGAGGTGGGGATGGAAATGATCTGGGCAAAGAGAGCCCAGGGAACCCACCTTGGAAGTGGAGATTCTGTGTCCTGTTGAAGGAAAGCCAGTCATTACAGGGCTGACATAATCGTATTAGCTAATGGCATTCATTGCTCTTAAAGTTGTCAAGTCTTTATCCCTAGGAAGTAGAGGACCTTCTACTTGTAGCACTGGGCAAAGGAAAGTGCAAAGCCAAACCTAATCTGTGGGCTGGGAGTCCACTCCAAGTCGTGGCAACCCCATGTGTCACAGATTAGAACTGTGCTTATGAGGCTGACATTTTAACCGGGACTCTGTTTCTGAAAGGCCCTACGGAGCAGGTCTACTCTGTGTACGTGGTGGTGGTGAGAATAGATGCCATGGCACCTAACAATGGCAACAAGCTTTTACTTTTTCTTTAATCATTTTATTGGGGCCCCTTACAGCTCTTATCACAATCCATACCTATATCACTATGTCCAGCACATTTGTACATATGTTGCCATCATCATTTTGAAAACATTTTCTTTCTACTTGAGCCCGTGGTGTCAGCTCCTAATTTTCCCCCCTTCCTCATCCTCCCTCCCTCATGAACCCTTGATAATTTATAAATTATTATTTTTTTCCTATTTTATACTGACTGTTGTCTCTTTTTACCCACTTTTCTGTTGTTCATTCCCCTGTGTGTGTATGTGTGTGTGTGTCTGTGGGAGTATATGTCGATTATTGTGATCAGTTCCCCCTCTTTCCCCCACCTTCCCCCTACCCTCCTGGTATCATTTACTCTCATTATTGGTCATTAGAGGTTTATTTGTCCTGGATTCCCTGTGTTTCCAGCTCTTATCTGTACCAGTGTATATGCTCTTGTCTAGCCAGATTTGTAAGGTAGAATAGGGTTCATGATAGTTGGGTGGGGTGGGTGGGTAGGAAGCATTAAAGAACTAGAGGAAAGTTGTATGTTCGATTGATGCTATACTGCACCCTGACTGGCTGCTCTCTTCCTGGTGACCCTTGTGTGAGGGGATGTCCAATTGTCTACAGATAGGCTTTGAGTCTCAACTCCACCTCATTCACATTGATATGATTTTTTTGTCCTGGGTATTTGATGCCTGATACCTGATCCCATAGACACTTCATGACCATACAGGCTGGTGTGCTTGTTCCATGTGGGCTTTGCTGCTTCTCAGCTAGATGGCCACTTGTTTATCTTCAGATCTTTAAGACCCCAGACACTGTATCTTTTGAGAGCCAGGCACCATTAGCTTCTTCACCACATTTGCTTATGCACCCATTTTGTCTTCAGTGATTGTGTCGGGAAGGTGAGCATCACAGAATGCTGGGTTATTAGAACAAAGTGTTCTTGCATAGAAGGAGTACTTGAGTAAAGGCCCAATGGCCATTTGCTACCTTAATACTTAACATACAAATATATGTACATAGATCTATTTCCGTACCATTATATATAATTATATTTACATATGAACATGCCTGTATTTAGACCTCTATAAATGTCCTTTGCCTCCTAGTTCTTTCCTCTATTTCCTTTTACTTTCCTCTTGTCCCACTATCATGCTCAGTCTTCATTTGGCTTTCATTAATTCCTCTTGATTGCATTGCACTTTATCAAGCTCCACCAGACATCCTATGCCCTCCTCACCATTGATTTTGGATCACTTGTTCCCTTGTCCCTGGGTTTGTTAATACCACTTCCTTCCTCCCCCAACTTCTCTCCCTTGTCCCCCTGGAACCATCCATTGCATTGTTTTCCCCTCCAGATTGTTTGTCCCGCCTATCTTATCTAGATAGACATGCCAAAACAATAATAAACAAAAACAAAACAAAAAACCCCAACTTAGCAGAAGCAGACTACTAGGCCTTTTCTTGAGATGCATTTATTACTCTTGTTGATCGATGCCGTCAATTCAGTTCCATCTCATAACGATCCTATGTACAACAGAACAAAATGCTGCTCAGTCCTGAGCCATCCTCACAAGTGCTATAATGCTGGAGCTCATGGTTGCAGCCACGGTGTCAATCCATCTCCCTGGGGGGGGGGGTCTGTTTTTGTCATTGACCCTCAGCTTTACCTGTCCTTTCCCAGCATCTCTTGACAACATTGCAAAGTGCATAAGATAGTCTTGTCATCCTCCCTTGAGCTGCAGCTAGATAGGTCAGATACCAAACTTTGGGTTACCAGCCAAACAAGTTATGCTACACAGAGACCCTTGGTCTAGGGCAAAGAGAAGCGTTGAAAATACAGACTTCTTCTTTTTCATGATCATAAGAAAAAGGAGGTGGGGAGAGCGCATGTTTTAGAGGCTCCCTGGAATAATAATCTAAAGCAAATTAAAAGTGGAAGGGGGGGTGGCAATCCCTAACGGACTGTCCTAACAAAGTCATCTTTGGAGGACAAATATAACCCTATCGTTATATATAAATATATTTACATATTTTTAAAAGGTATAGTCCCTTCCTGGGCTCCTGTCGCCTGAAACAGATATGCCACGATTGGGGTCATACAGCAGCAACAAGCCAGTCTCAGTTGTTCCTGTTGCCATGGGCAGGATAGGCTGAAAAGACCAATGGACTAGGCCACCTCAGGATGCCAGCACAGTCCTGAGACTCAAAAGTTCAGGACAAGGCACCTCCCTCTGACCCGTCCACTTGCTTGTCCCCTAAGGGTCATGTGGACTTTCTACTCCGGCTCTGGAGTCAGTGCCAAGCAAGTCACTGGCAAGACTCCTCCTCCTGGTCTCTCACACCCTAAAGACGGAGCCCCCTACTCCTGGCTTCCTGCTTTTCAAACATACTCTACAAGAAAGACTCTCCTAGTGACAGGTAGAGTGAGGGGGGCCTTGAGTCTAGGGGGCAAATCCCAAGAGAGTCCTGCAGTCGGCAAGCGCCCTTGTTTCAAGTGTTGTGTTGGAGTGGTGGCATTTGGCTTGGAGTTTCTGTGCCGGCTCTGGCGTGGGGATGAGCCCCTAGAAAGGATGGTGAGGACGGCGTTAGGGTGGGCGGGCATCTCAGGGCCTCTCTCTCACACCCTGCCGGGCTCCCTACCTCTTTGGCCTAAGCTGCGGGGCCGCTTCTCTCCAGCACGTGGCGCTGCGCGCGCTCCTATCCCGAAGCCGCGACGCTTCGTGCGCTGACAGCGGGGCGCAGCCAGCCGGCTGGAATTGAGTAGCATTCATTGAATCTGCGGTGTTCATGACGTCTCCCTGCGTGGTCCATCACTTTGCTCCCAGGCGGCGATTTTTATTTTTCTCCCCGTCCCTCTTGCCTTCCCCCCTTTCCTTCCACTCGTCTCCCCTCCGCGCCCCTGTCGGAGCGCGCACCCCTGCGCCCTTCGCTCGGCGCGGCGCCCAGCCCTCCGCTCGCGGCAGAGGGAGCCTGGCTGCGGACGGACAGACGGCCGCACCTGGCCGGAGAGGCTGGGCGGGCGGAGCGGGGATCCGCGGCGCCCGGGGAGCTGGAGCCGGAGCTGGATGACCCGCGCCGAGACCGGAGTCTCCTGACCGCTTCCCGGGGGCTGATGTGAAATTGGACCAGCTGATTCCAGTTTCTCTTTTCCTTCATTATTATTATTGTTGTTGTTATTTTAAAATCTCCTCCCCTCGCCATCTCTTGTGTAGTGAACCATTATTCCGGCTTGCTCCGTTCCAAGGGAGGAGATCATGATTGAGTGAAGCCACCCCTGCCCACCACAAGGTAAGCGCTGCGCCGAGTTGCTGGAAGGCGAAAAGCTGGCAGAAATCTGGGCGAGATGTTCGGTGCCCTCGAGTCCTCACCGCCCCCTCCTCAGTCTCCGCCAGGGCTGCGGGCACCTCCGCTCCGAAGGGGAGCAGGAAGCCCAAGTCCAAGGGAAGGCGAGGGAGCCGCCGGTTACATAACAGGAGGGAGATCTCTTTTGGAGGGTTTTTATTAGCAACTGAAAACTCAGTTGGGCGGGGAGAGGAGGGGTCTGCACGCCCTGGGCGCGGAGAAACCCAGTCAGTTGTTGCAGACAGCATTCCCACAGCCCTTGGCAAAGACAGAATGCAGGGCTGACTGGCAGGGCGACTCGCCTTGGAGTCATTTACAGTTGGGAAAAGCCCATTGTCTTCGTCAGAAGCTCTCTTCTAGTTCTGTTTTGCAGAGAGAGAGAGAGAGAGAATGCACAAATGCATGAGAAGGAAAAGTGAGGTGGGGAGAAACAACAGAAGAGAGTGGAAAACAGAGAATCGCTCCAACTGTTGGCTATCAATAATACCTGAGATGAGATGCAATAACTAAAATTAGTGAGTGGAAGATCTCCTGGAAATAAACGGAAAGATTTTGTAATTGGGAAAGAAAAGCCTCGGATAAAATGAGATGTTTATAGCATTAGGGGGTTGGAAGAACCCTCGGATCTGGCTTCCTCCTGGGCATGTTTTCAATAGCAACAAGACATTAGGCTTGCATTAGTTTTTAACAAAAATAACATTAGTAATCCCCAACCCCGGTAAAACAGTGTAGCAATCCACAGGTCCGGTGTCTGGCTCAATATGGAAAGATGGTAAGGGACGGGGGACATATTTTCACCGAAACGGGGTGAGGTGGGCGAAGAAACAAAATACCAGAAATTTCCGAAGCATCCCGCCTCCACCACCACCCTCGAGAAAGGAAGGGGGAGGGGAGGACCCCTCCAGCATTTATGACTTCGATAATCAGTGTGTGCCCAGCGTGTTTCCTGGCTGCTTTCATGCAAAGTCTGACTGTCCTGGAGCCCCGGGGTCCTGGGTGCAATGCCACATCCCTGCTGCTATGCCTCTTTGCCAGCTTCTTCTCCTGATACAGTGTGTGTGTATGGTGGGGGGGGGGCGGGTGCGGGCAGCAGCAAACCCAGCTGCTTCGCTAGAAAGAGGGACTTGCTGTAGTCAGGGCTGAGCTAACTAAGCTTCGCCCATTTTGCCTGGAGAAAGAGCTGGAGTCTCCATGGCGACCTAGGGAGGAGGGGAGAAGGCAGCTCCAATTACAGAGAAAGCTTTGGACAAAACTTTCCCACCTCCGGGCATAGAAACAAGCCAGCCAAGTGCCCTGTGGAGAGTTTCCGGGCATCGGGTACAATCAAGTATGTGTCGACGTCCTGCGAGGGGGGCTCCTAAAGCCCCCTGGTATCCCTCAAGCCTCCGGAACGTTGTCCCAGGATGCTGAGATCTTTCCCCTGGGTGGATCCTGCTTCAGCACCATGGCTAGAGCACAGCCCCCAGGAGTTCTCACCAGCCATAGGGCGCCAGAAGTTGCTCCCTTAATATAAAGGACCAGCTCTCTTGTCCTTAAAGAATCTGATAATCCACGGGCTTAAGTGGGAGCAGAAGAGCTTGCAAATCGTCCATTTCCTGCATGGCCGGGATTCAGAGCAGCTCTTTCGAATTCAGAATACGAAAAACAGCAAAAAGACCAGTGCTGAACTGGGAATGGAGAAAGGAGCTTGTCCTTGGGGGTGGGGGTGCGAGTGTGCAGATGCACACACACTCACACTGATCAGCCCCAGAAGAGAGTGGCCTGGTTCCCACAGAGCCCCTTTACCTTAGAAGAGCATCTCTTCATTGCTTGTTCTCTCATTGACCTCCCTTTAACTTTTGCTGTGTGCAAATGTCGCAAAGGCGCTGTGGGGGCGCTCTGTTCTGTGAGAGGCCATCCAACCAAGTCCTGTCTAGGGGTCCAGAGACAAAGGAGATGGAGGAAAGAGTTGACTCCCAGTCCAGACCCCAAAGACTCTAAGCGAAGCAGGCAGCCTCTTGGGCAGGAGAGAGGATGTGTTAGGGAGCAAAGAGGGAAGGTTCAACTCCAGCTGGCTTGTGAGCAAAGTGGACACGTGCCAAAGTTGCGGGCTCAGGAAGCGGCGAGAAGTCACTTCTGTTCGTACAAACGGGTCGGCACTGCGCGGGAGGGGAGGATTCATCCTAATTCAAGGTACATGTCAACAATCGGCAGGGGAAGCAGGTAAGTCCATCCAGCCAAGCAGCCTTCACCTTACACCAGTCTGGTTCCCTGCCCTGTTCTCATCTTTGGTAGTGGTTGGGTTTTGTTTTGATGACCTCTGTCTTGGCACAAATGAGGGGAAATCATTCAGGAAGGTGGCAGTCGCGTTTCAGTTAGTCAAACTTAAAGAAGCATCCAGGTGTTGTCCTTTGAATTGCAGTGATCCAGCAAGCTTTGGCAGCTGGCTGGAAATCTGGGGAAAGAAAGCCTCTATGATATCTCTGGCTACGTTCCCCTTTTAAGGATGCACCTGTGTATGTGGTACTTGGTCTGTTTCCTAGTTGTTATTTATAAAGGTAACCGTGTAACGCCCTGGTTTTCCTGGCTGGGTTTCCCCACTGTGGATGGGCATGTTATTGCTTTCCAAAGACAATGCATGCTGTAGACTTAGCATGTGGTCCCAGCATTGGGGGTGGACCTTCTGATGGATTTTGTTTGTTTGTTTGTTTGTTTGGTTTTTGTTATCATGGCCAGTGAAGGCAGAAGCAGTCTATTTAAAATCTGTGCAAAAGGGCGAGAGACACCATTATTTCGTACATTGCAGCCTCCATTAACAAGCTTATTCATGAATTAATTGATAAAAGAGTTGCTGTCTACAGTACAGAGAAATGATGCATAGGAGTACTGGTTCGATTTAAATGAAGCCATTGTACTCTACATTTGCTCTGTCCAATATTATCAGCAAGAGGAAGTAGAGTTTAGCTAAGATATAAAGCCATTCACAAATATGTTATTCTGTAAACAGAAGATTACATTTGTGAGTTCTAAAGTTCAATTACTCTCAGGAGTTAAAAAAAAATCAGGGCAGTGTAAATAAACCAGGTATAGGAAATGGCTGAATTAATGATTGCCCCTTCTGGTAAATTCTGTGATCATACACTCACTGGCAATATACCGAAACATGACTTGGTTTCTTCCTGAGTGGCTAACTGCTCTGCAAAGTAAGCAAATGTCTTTGTTGACTCTGTAGCATTGCTTCCTTATGGCAGTCAATTGTATACTCAACAATAGTTGTTTACCCATTTCAAATAATGTGTTAAGGAGTAGCAGCTTCGTAACATTTCATCCATGTGTGCTTGATTCCATTCTATGATATGAGCAAAAATCATTTTGTTATCTCATCTTGGTATTTCCTAGACATTCGCTAAATAGTATAGTCATACCTAGCACTACGCCGGCTGCTTGCTTCCTTTGGGAATATGAAAATACTGTGATTCACTCCTACATCTCCTCCCTGAGACTCAAAAAAAGCCCATGGGCATCGAGTTGATTGCAATTCATAGTGACCTCCTATAATAGGATAAAACTATAAGACAAGAGGCTAGATGCTTAGTAAGCAGTAGGGAAAAAAATCATTGAAGATTAAAGAGATGTAAATGTACCCTTGTGGGAGCTTAACCTCATTCCCAGATTTTCACAGGTAGAAAAATGTTGCTCTCCCTTGAAGGTTTAGTGAAAATTATGGGATTCTTCAAGAAAGCAAGATAAGCTCTCATTATCAAAATGGACAGGCAGGCAAGGCAAAGCTCATTTCTCTTTCATTCATTAATTCTTATTAAATCAATGAACTGCAAATAATATATAGATTAATTAGAGACCCAAAAAACAAACAAAACATAGCACTACCATCAAGTAGATGCCAACTCATAGCGGCCCTACAGGAAAGCGGATCTGCCCCTGTGGGTTTCTGAGACTGCAACTCTGTAAGGAATTGGAAAGCCTCATCTTTCTCCTGAGCAGCTGGTTGGTGATTTCAAAATACTGACCTTACAGTTAGCCATTAAGACTCCTTAATAAGGGGTACAGGTCAGAGAAAAACAGAGGAGAGGTTATGAAGAAAGTAAAATTTTAAAAGGCCAAGATTTATTTTTATCAACTTAAAAGTGACTATTTATTAAAGCAATATTTCTTTTAAGATGTGTTGTATTTCTATTAAGATTCAGGGTCAGTGGACTTTAGATGTTCAAATTAAGTGCATTTAAATTTATTCCTTATTGAGATATTTTGTATTGTCTCTTTCCTGTACCTTCAGCCACTGTCATTGAAATATACACTGAAAGGTAATTGATTCACTCCAGGTTCTTTACAGAATTATTAAAACGGGCAATACAGTATACATAAAAGGAGAATAGGCAGCTAACTTTAAAAAAACATCAAAACTCTTACACTGAATTAGGAAATTCTTTTTAATTGTAGTTAAACTGTTGGAGAACGTAGAAAAATGAAATGCAGTAATTTGGGGTAGCAACATATTTTAAAGTTTCTGCTACAGAAATAATTATGAGCTCATAGAAAGAAGAGATTCTTATAATTGCTATTAGTGCTCTTGTGGTATTATGCGTTTCCTCTAGAATACAGAACCAAGTCTGTTGCCATAGAGCCGATTCTAACTCACAGATACCCCATCTGTGACAGAATAAAACCACTCCATGAGGTTTTCTTGTCTATAATCGTTACAGGGGCAAATTGCCAGGCCTTTCTTCCACAGCACCAGTGGGAGGGTTCCAACTTCCAACCTTAGGTTAGGAGTTGGTAGGCTAGTTGGGCACCACCCAGTGACCTAGGCTACACAGATATTTGCTATGGTTCTAACTCATCAATCAATGATGAAATGATTTATCTCTAATAAAGGACAACATCTCCTTATAATGAGATTCAGTATTCTTCTAAATGGTGGTCCTTGACTTCCTGTGCTTACTAATACA